CCATGCCCCTCACTCCTGCCTTCCTGTCCTTGCACAAACCCCGGCGAATGGTTACCCCCATTCCATGTGCCTGGCAGAACCCCTTTGGTCCGTCTGTGACTCAGATGTTGAGACTGGCTGTGCACTCCTAACTCTGTTACCTGGATTCATTTTCCATGTCTGATTTTATCTCAAACTTCTGCCACTCCTCTGCCCACATGCCTCCCACCAGGCCCTCCATGTCCCTTCATGCTGTAGGGATGCAAAGCCATTTTAATTCCTCCATAAGTCCCCCATGTGGGAGCCCAACCTGTCCACGTGGGGCCTCGATAGAACACAGAGTGACACAGGTGACAGAGGCTCTCATGCTGAGCTGAATCATCACCTGACGCCCAGCAGCAGGCAGACTAAAGGGAGGAACAAATGGGAAGTCTGGTGACCTGGCTTCTACCCCACTGTGCTCCCACACACTGTGTGACTGTGAGGACTCACATTTTTCAGTGGCAAATGAGAAAGTTAAAGTTGATGATCTCTGAAGATCTTCCAACTTTAAAACTCTATCTTCTGGCATTTTAAACACTGCAAACATTTGCCAAGACTCCCAACAATGAAAAAGTCAGTTCCCTGAGTACGACCTATATGCTAAGCACATGTATTACTGTCCCCAAGTCACAGAACTCTAAGGAAGCATTTATGTGCCCCTCTTTGCAAAGAAATTCAGGATCACAGAGCTGAAGTGTCCAGGTAGTAAAATGTGCTGGTGGGATTCAAACTCAGGCCTGTCTGACTTCGATGCCAGGGGCCTATCGCTGAATAGTAACACTCTTCCAAACTGTATTATGCTGAAATAAATTTAAATGCCAGAATGATCCAGGAAGTGGAGCTCTCCATTGCCAGGACCAATGAGGATCATTCCCACGGTATTGTTTGCTGATGAGAGCTACAGAGAACTGGTGCTTCCTCTAGGAAACTCTAGCTGGAGTGAATAATTGACTCACAGGAATGGAGGATGTCTTGAACTCACGTAGAGAACCCACTCAGCCATCAGGTGCTCGAGAACCTGGGAAGGAGACTCACTGTTGAGCACTCACATCCTCCCTGCAGAGTCTGACACCTGTCTGTCATGAAGGATGAACCCCAGTGGAGGGGACTAGGCTGTCTTAAGAAGCTGCTCCACTCGAAACCACTTGGAGGTAGGGACCGTGATTTATATCCACCACTATCTCCAGCACCTTGCACACAACAGGCACTCAGTAAGCACTGGTTGAATGAACACGTCAGCCATGTCCACAGCTTCATCTTGGGGTTAGTTTTTAGACAAGCATGCCATCTTTTTAAAAATGGAGGCAAAATCCACTTACCGTAAAATTAACCATTTTAAAGTGAATGACTCAGTGGTGTCCAGTACATTCGCATCTTGTACAATCACCAACTCGACCTGCACAGTACTCTCATGATGCAGTGGCTGTCCCTTTTACCCTCCCTGGTTCTGGTAACCGTCAACCTGCTTTCTGTTGTTATGCATTTATCTATTTTTGAATTAAAACCATTTTCCATTGTTTTATTTATGTGTTTCGTCCATGCTGGGCAAGCACACCACCACGGCACTGCATCCCCAGACGTCAATCATCATGAACAATAATCAGAGAGGGAGATGAAGGAGCTCCCATACCCACAGCAGTGTGGGGCAGTTCCCGTGTATTCTCTTCCACCTCTTCCATCTCAGCCATTCTGTTGTACAGAAAATCAGCCACAAACAATAGGGTTTCTCCAACAATGTGATCACGGGGGAGGACACTCCTTTCACCTGGAGGACAGCCTACTGAGAAGGCCCTTTTCTCCCCCACAAAGAGCTATGCCTGTCTTTGGTCCTCTTGCTGCCATCAAGGGCAAAACTTTAACTGTCCTTCCACAGCTGCTGGGCCCAAGAGAAAGGGCCAGTGGAGATGGAAAGTGAGAACCACAATTCAACAGGCCAAGGCGGGGCGGTCAGAGGAAGAGGGAAGAGAAGCAGCAGGTGGGTCTGGACAGGTCCGCCCAGAAGCTCAGAGAGCATTCTGTCTCTGGACAGATTCCTGGTCCCATCCCTCCCCCTTGCTTATTCTCTCCTGGGCAGCAAATGAGCCCAAAGAACAGTAAAGAGCCAAGGTCAGGCTCAGGAGGCCGCAGAGTCAGGAAAGCAGCGTCTGAGCCTTGTGGGAAGACAGAGGGCAAGCTGGAGGCGACGGAGGAGGCGGGAGACAGTGTCCCGGACAGGAGGACGCCCGGGGAGGGAGGGAAGGTTAAGTGACCTCAGAGTCGAGGGGCATCGCCACACAGGGAAACAGACCAGTGTGGCTACCCAAGATGAGAACACGAGATCTCCTGCCCCGGTTCCCTTCCCAGGGCCATGTATCACCACCCCGTACGTGCTGAGAGCTAGCCCCAACATCTCTCCCAACAGGGCCGCGGCTTGCTCTCACCAACCTCTTCTTCACCCAAAAGTTAACTCACAGTTCACATCGGCTTCCCCACTCAGGGCAGAGAGAAAGCAGCCAGTCTCTGCCTCTGGGAGAGAAAGAGCCATGACCTACTTGGGCTGGGGCAGAGCTGGGTCAAGGCCTTCCCGTGTGTTTGGAGTATGAGCTCACCCTCATTACACCGGGCGGGGGCTGGACAGTTACCTGGACTCATCATGAGGCCTATGAGGTCATTCACACAGGCACTGAGGAGACCTGCCCCGTATCCACGCATCCCCACTCCTAAATGGGGCCACCCAAGGGCAGCCTATGGGGCCTCTGAGTCCTAGACTGGGGCTTCTCCGGCCCCCCCATCCCAGGCTGTCTCGCACCCTCCCCAACACTCCCCTTCCTTCAGCTCCATCCCCTGCCCTACTTCCCACATCCAGCTAGCCCAGTGGTCAAAGGCGCAGGCACACTATCTTCTCAAAGCTCTTATTATGCTGTGAATCAGAGGGAGGGAGGCAGATCTGGAAGATACCGAGCCTCTGGAAACTCATAAGACTGGTGTGACTTCTTTGAGCCAGGTCTGCTGTGCTGTCACTGACTGTCCTGAGCTGGGGAGCGGCAGATTCCTCCCATGTGAGGTCAGCTGCAGAGAACAAGGGCATGGGTGCCCACGGGAAGGGGCTCGGTTAGTTCTCAAGTGAGGTGGAGGCCACTTTCCCTGCCCCAGAAAGTGGCCCAGCGGAGGTTCTATGGGAGAGATGGTGTGAGACCCCAGCAGACTCAGGGAATAGAGGGGACTTGAGGAAAAGGGAGCTTTGGGGGACAGAGGACCCTGTGAGTCTTTCCAGACTGAGCCCCAGGAACATGGAAAATCAGCACTGCAAATGTAACTGCTTGGGGCTAGGAGGGAGGTGCTCAAAATCAGCCCCATTCATGAGGATTCTCTTCCCATTATTCTGACATTTCTTTATTTACTAGATTATAAAAAAGGAAGTTTAAGGAAATGAAGTTTTACCTAATAAGCTGTTAACTAACCATGAAGGACAAGTACAATTTGGTTTTGTTTCTACTCAAAAACACAAACACAAAGCTGTTTTAAAACTAAAATGTTAGGTAGCCGCACCTCCAGGCAGTGAGATACACTATTCAGCCATTCCTTTAACTGATATTGATAGAGCACTTGGCTGAAGTGGTGATTTGATAGGTTCTAGGGACATACTTGAAACATACCAGGTCTACCTCTGCCCTTCGATGCTTAATTTTCTAATTGAAAAGATTCACAATGGGCTGAGGTTGTGGCTCAGCAGTAGAGCGCTTGCCTAGCACGGGTGAGGCCCTGGGTTCGATCTTCAGCACCACATAAAAATAAATAAATAAAATAAAGGTATTATGTCCAACTACAACTAAAAAAAAAAAATACTAAAAAAAGAAAAGATACATAATAACCAAGTGAACAAATGTAAGCAAAATAACTCTAGATTTTTATTAGTGAAATGAAGTGAACCAGGGTGGTCAGAGAAGATTCTCAGGCAGAGTCCAGCACGTACACTGAAGCTCAAAGGCACAGGATAACCAAATCCCTCGGCATAGGGAGGGCAGGTGCCTAGCCCCAGGGTGAGGACTGCTGTCCTCGTCCTGGGGACTGAGTCACCCAGCAAAGGGGGCAGTAAACCTGTCAAGGAGAGGTCAACCTGAGGTGAGAATCAGAAAGGGCAGAATTCAGGTTCCTGGGGACTTTTGATCAAGGCAGTGAATTCGAATTTTATCCTAAATGTCGGGGGTCACCATCAGCATTACAGAGGGACGTGCTCAAGTCCCCTCCCTACAAGATTTTTGAAGCTGTTTTTAGAGAAAGGTTTAGCTAAGGCAATACGTGATTAGGCTCTGCCCTTCACACGGTCCTGCAGTTCCGGAGGTAACTAGAGAAAGTGTTTGTGTTTTCACCATCTGTACATTGTTTCTACTTAACCCTATTTCCTTGCCTAGAGCGGTCCAGGCTCTGGAGTGCTTATGAGCACAGCAGCGTTGGGTACGAAGGCTGGCAGTTCTGGGGTTCAGCAGGAAGAGGTGTGGAAGACTTCTACTTGCCTCTCCCTGGCCTAGAGCCAGACCCCGAGTTGATTTCCCCACAGGAGGTGATTATAGATACATTATGAGACAGGGTGGTCTTGTGGCCCAGGGAAATGCCCCACAATCCTATCCCTTTATCAGAAGGGACTCTTCCACCCCAGACCCCAATCTGGATATCCCAGACACAAAACATTCCATCCCATACCCTTGGAAATGCACCCCTCACTCCAATAATGAGGATAAACTCATTTTACAGGGAGAGAAATTGATATGCAGAGGAGAAGTTTGGTGAAAGTCAAAAATCAATGGGACACCTTCCTCATCCTTCTCACCCCCCCTGTCCCCAGGTCAGATGGTCATCACAGGAGTAGCTGAACCCTGAGAACTCTCTGGCCAGAGAGGCACTCAGAAAAAGGGGCCCTGAGGGGTTTGCTGCTTAATGATGAGTCAGGGTAGGGGCTGGAGGAGGTTGACGGACTGGAGTGGTGAAACCAGTACGTCACCTCCACACTGGGAAGGCGGCAGGAGGGAATGGTATAAAGGGTGTGCTGGCCCCTGTGCAGCTCGCCACTCCACCAGAAGCCTCTGCCTCAGTCCCTGCTGTGAGCCTGGTGAGTATCAGCTGACGGGACGAGGGTTGGGACCTGGCTGGGAGAGGCCAGTCCAGGTGGGTGGGGCTGGACTCAGCTGGACTACATTTTATTCTAGGGGTCCCAAGTCACTGTGAGGAGGGAGATGGGCCAGGATTTAGAAATCCAGAGTGGATATCAATCCTCACATGTCTCATCTTTTCTTGGGAAAACATCTCCCCAGATTTATTTGTGTAAAAGATAAGTTAGGCAGAGGGAGTACAAGTCAATTTCTCTTCTACAACTCATCGGTTTAGACTGACCATGATTCTGCCTCCCTTATAGGGGAAGGGTGTTCTGGGGGGGGGTGCTTATGATTTTTATGCTGCACAAAGGGGAGACTTCAGAATGGGGAGAAATTTAAATTTGGAGAAACCCAGACAGAAAAGGGGAAGACAACCTAACTTAGAAGAACAAGACTTGATTAATAAGTTCCAAGTCTCGGTAACCTTCCAGTCACCCTCGTTTCCGACCCTAAGCACTGGGGCTATAGATAAAGTTCAGATGGTCAGGAAAGAGATGAGATCTGGAGTTGAATAGGCCAGCCGCTCATTTGACAGAGAGGAAATCTCCCATTCAGAGGTGCTCAGTGACTTACAGCTTTGCAGAGGGAGATGTATGCCCAGAACACATGGGTGACCCCAGGCTAACGCTGATGCCGTAACTTCTCAGTTCCGCTCCAGCACAAGCTATTGATGTTCCAGGACTCGGAGATCATCTCTAGAAGATATTTCTCCTCTAGTATCTTTCCTCTTGATGTGATATAATCCCAGAATTCATCTCTCACCCCTTAATCAGCTGAGGCTAGAGATAAGGGCACAGACAAGACTAGACAAAATTAATAAGTTAAATGGCAGCCAGCCCACACTTGCGTAACAGCTCTGGAGACATATTTCTTTGTTGGCTCTGGCCTGGGAATAAGGAGCCCCAAGGATAGCCTTTCCCTGCCCTTCCCAATCCCCACACTTAACTCTGCTGCTTCTGGGAAGGACAGTTTAAAGGAGACGGGAGAGTGCCCCGCCCAAGAGAAGGGGGGCTGAGAAGCCAAGCTCTGCTGGACACCTCTACTTCCTTGGCCTTCAGCCTGTCCCTCTGACCCTCTGTTTTTCAGGTTGACCTACCGTAGCTTCCAAGATGTCCCAGCAATACACACGGCCAGTGACGGTCCCTGCTACCCTCAGTGAGGAACTCCCCCAGACTGCTTCTCCTTCAGCCCTTACGGAGCAGGAGCAAATGAAGCAGCCGACATCCCTGCCTGCTCCGTGCCAGAAGGTGGCCTCTGAGTCCCCGGGGGAGGGCCCTTCCAAGCATAAGGAGGAGCACACGGCTCCCGTGAAGGGGCTGCCTGGGCAAGAGTGTGAGCAGCCGCAGCAAAGAGAGCCCCAGGGGCAGAAACTGCATCTGGGCCTGCAGCAGCGGGAGCACCAAGCACCTCAGCAGCAGGAAGTGCGCCTGGGACAGCAGCAGCAGGAGCAGCCCCAGGTGGAGGAGCTGCATCTGGGAAAGCAACACCAGCAGGAGCCACGGGGGCTGCACCTGGGACAGCAGCAGCAGGAGGAGCCACAGGAGCAGGAGCTGCATCTGGGACAGCAGCAGCAGGAGGAGCCACAGGAGCAGGAACCGCATCTGGGACAGCAGCAGCAGGAGGAGCCACAGGAGCAGGAACCGCATCTGGGAAAACAGCAACTGCAGCAGGGATCACAGAAGCAGGTGCTGCATGTGGGACAGCAGGAACCACAGGAGCCACAGGAGCAGGAGCTGCATCTGGGAAAGAAGCAGAAGGAGGAGCCACAGGAGCAGGAGCTGCATGTGGGACAGCAGAAACATCAGAAGCCACAGGAGCAGGAGCTGCATTTGGGGAAACAGCAGGAGGAGCCACAGGAGCAGGAGCCGCATCTGGGAAAACAGCAGCAGGAGGAGCCACAGGAGCAGGAACCGCATCTGGGACAGCAGCAGCAGGAGGAGCCACAGGAGCAGGAGCCGCATCTGGGACAGCAGCAGCAGGAGGAGCCACAGGAGCAGGAACCGCATCTGGGAAAACAGCAACTGCAGCAGGGATCACAGAAGCAGGTGCTGCATGTGAGACAGCAGGAACCACAGGAGCCACAGGAGCAGGAGCTGCATTTGGGGAAACAGCAGGAGGAGCCACAGGAGCAGGAGCTGCATGTGGGACAGCAGAAACATCAGAAGCCACAGGAACAGGAGCTGCATTTGGGGAAACAGCAGGAGGAGCCACAGGAGCAGGAGCTGAATCTGGGACAGCAGCAGCATCAGAAGCCACAGGAGCAGGAGCTGCATTTGGGCCGGCAGCAGCAGCAGGGCCAGCCACAGCATGAAGAACCCCAGGGAGCAAACATTCTGGAGCAAGAGGAAACACAAAGGGAGCAGCAGCCTAAGGAGCCTCTGCGGCAGGCTCAGGAACTGGAGCGCCTGGAGCCGCAGGAGGAGCATCTGCAGCAGCCCGCGTTGGTCCCAGGCCCTGGCCAGGCCCAGGAGCTGCAGCCAGTGCAGGCACAGAAGGGAGGGATTCCCGCGCCCTGCAGGGGAACAGCAGCAGAAGCAGGTGTCAACGTGACCCAACTTGAGTAGGAACCTGCAGTGTCCCGGGGGCCCACAGAGCCTCCTACACAGGGAGGGGGACACAGACGCACTTTCCTCTGCTCCCCTGGGGGCCACTCGTCGTGAACCTGCCTGCCTGGCCCTCTGCCTGTCTCCTTAGGGGCTGGGAGAGAGGAAGTCATACGCAGCACCCACCTCCAGGAGCCCAGTCCTGATCCTGGGCAACCCGAGCCTCTGCCTGAAGGACTGTCACTATTACACTAACCCTAAACTCACCCCGGACCATGACTGAGTCTGTGAGTGTGCACAGTCGTACCTAATAAACCCTGAGGTCCTCGGTCTCTCTGGCTGTTTCTCCTCTGTCCCTCACCACATAAAATCCTGTGAATGGGTCAGTGGCTGCAACTGACCCTCCCTTGTCCAATTCTCAAAGGAGGGCAAACATCTCGACTCTTTTTTTAAAATTTTATTTTACTCTGAGACCACCCACTGTGTGCGACAGTTTCTGAAAAAGACTCAAAACTCAGAGAAAAACAAAAAAACTACATCACACGTGCACCTAAAAGCGATACTTGCCCTTCAGGAGGAGCAGATGAATTCATTTTGGTGGTGGGGGAATCTACTTACCCCTGTCCAGTGCTGTCTTCCACTACCCATAGAGACCCCAGGCCTAACCCAGGGCAGAGCTCAGCCCTACGTTTTCCATCTTGATTTGACGCCTCACTATGGGAGGGGACTGGGAAGATGCCAGGCAGATTTGGAGCTCCGTCTGGATTCTGATTTCTTCCCTGGAAATAGCCCAAAGCTTTGCTTCTTGTGTTTTCAACACAGAACGTCCTCATGATTTCTAAGAGTCTAATGGACTGCCTACTTGGTTAATTTTTTTTTTTTTTTTTTTTAAGAAAAGCAATAGAAGCAGAATTGTAAGGTGAGGAGAGGAGACACTTCCGGGACTGGTCTCTGAAGAAAAGTGCCATTGTCCTTAGGGGAAGGGCAGGAGAAATATAGATCAGAAGTTGTGGCACCCTGGCTCCTGACACTTCTGAGCCTTGACTGCCATCAGTCACATTAGGACTTGGGGCTCTCTCCTTCCTGAGGCGAGCCCTGCCCCTAACCCTCCCGATGACTTGCCTTAACTATTTGGCCGTATCATCTCAGCAGGTTGTTCAGAGCTATTTTACCGCAGGCAAAGGCTGTATCAGGGATTTCCCCACTGAAGTGTCCGCAGGCACTCAAACTCCATGGATCTGAACAGTACTTAGAATTCCTCACTCCCAACCCAACCCCAAGCAAAGCTCACCATGTTTCCTGCTTAGGAATCCTGTCATCTGGTTAATGACGTCAGGATGGAGTCCTGCGCTCAGGCTGAGGTTTCTCCCCACCTCTGAGCTACTGCAACAGCCTTCAGGCTGGTCTCTCTCGCTCTCCGTATCCACACCCCCCGTGGTCTCCCCATCACAAGGGGTTCCTAAAATTCCTGCTGAACCTCATTACTCCTTGGGTCAGCCCACTGGCAGTGGTTCTCGTCCCTTAGATCATGGCAAAGCAGACTCGAGTTCTAAGAGTGAACTTGGATAGGACTGGGTGGGAAGATTGGGGTCACAGAAGTGATCAGAAGTGCCCCACATGTCCAACACGGACAGATTTCCTTTAAGTCGTAGGTGATGGCTGTTATTGTAATAGAAATTGCTTTTTTTGAAATTTTATTTTTAGCGTTTCATAGGTGTGTTATAATGATACACAATGGCAGGACTCATTATGACATATTGCATATGCACATGGCCTAATTTGATCAATTTCATTCCCCAGCACCATGACTCTCCTCCCCTGTTCCCTCCCCAGGATCCCCTTCCTCTACTCTACTGATTTCCCTTTTATTTTTTTAATTGGTATATTATAATTATACACAAAGTGGGATTCATTGTGATATATCCTACTTGCACATAGCATGATTTTTTTTTCTTTTTTATTCCCTGATACCTCCTTTTCCCCTCTCCTCCTCCCTCCCCCTGGATCCCTTCCTCCACCCTCCTGATCTCCCTTCTATTTTTGTGAGATCCAAAATCAATATGGAAGTTCCTCAAAAGTCTGGTAATGGAACCACCAGGCCACCCAGCTGTTTCACTCCTTTATATTTATCCACCAAATTAAAACCAGCATACTACATTGATACATGCATACAAAGGTTTACACTAGCCCAATTCACAATAGTCAAGTTAAGAAACCAGCCCAAGGTGCCTGTCAACAGATGAATGGATAATGAAAATGTGGTACACATGCACAATGGAGTTTTACTCAGCCCTAAAGAAGAATGAAATTGTGTTCTTTGCTGGTAAATGAATGGAACTGGAGAACATCATGCTAAGTGAAATAAGCCAGACTCAGAGAGTCCAGGGCTGACTGTGTCCTCACATGTGGAAGTTAGAAGAAATCCATAACACACTCTACTTTTTAGAACAATTTTGAATTTACAGAAAAGTTGAGAAGACAGTTGAGTTTCCATATTCTACACACGCACTTGTTCCTATTGTTAAAATCTGACATTAGTAGAGTTCATCTACATTTGTTACAATTGATAAAACAAAATTAGGGATTTTTCAAAATTATAATTAACTAAAGTTTGTGGTCTGTTCAGAATTCCTCAGTTCTTACCTAAGGTCCTTTTGCTATTTCCGTACCCACCCACGGCATGTCACAATATACCTAGTCATCTCCTGAGGCCCCTCTGTACTGTGTTGACTTCTCAGATTCCTCCACTATAAAGTTTCTCTCCTGCCACCCCTGCCCCCATTCTGTTTTCATTTGTTTTGTTTTTGTGGTGCTGGGGATTGAACCCAGGACCTTGTGCATCCCAGGTAAGTGCTCTACCAACTGAGCTATATCCCCAACCCTCCCTGCCCCCATTCTGTACTGAACTCTGAAAGAAGTCCTTATGCCAGGCTCAGAATGGTACTTAGAGCTCTCCATCATTGCAAATGGAGTCTCTATATACATTATTCGGAATTTCCCCTTATTTATTCATTCAATCATTTATCTAAGTCAGTGTGGATTCACAGATATTTATTTTGAACTTCGAGCTATAATCTAATTGTACTTCTATTTCGTTTCTTTCTTCCTTCCTTCCTTCCTTCCTTCCTTCCTTCCTTTCTTTCTATTTTCCAGTTTGGGCCATTGGGAGCTCTTTCCCATGTCCTTTGAAATACTTCCATCAATATGAATTTTTTAAGTTTTTCTTTTATTTTTTCTTCTCTTTCTTGGGAGTACTGGGGATTGAACGGATTGAACGGAGAGATGCTCAGCCATTGAGCTACCTCCTCAGCCCTTCTGATTTTTTTATCTTGTGATAGGGTCAGGCTAAGTTACCAAAACTGGCCTCAAACTTGCTGTCCTCCTGCCTCAGCCTCCCGAGTCACTAGCGTTACAGGGGTGCACCACCACTCTCAGCTAAAATAAATTTGTTGGTGTTGTTTTCCTTTGACTTTGCTTTGTGTTGTTGTTGTTGTTTGTTTGTTTCTGGCATTTCTTTACTGTCTGGTACTATAACAAGTTCCAGTTGATTTTGTACATTGCTGGCCCAGTCCTAAAAATCAGGACAATTTTCAAGGATTCCTGGTTCGGTGTATTGGAGAATGATATTAGAAACTACAATGTGGGCACTAGGTGTTTGTTACTACTGAGCAATCATTTCTTTGGGGCCTTTCAGTTGGCAAAGAAGTAGGTGTGTGGGTGTGGGTGTGTGTGTGTCTATATGTAACCACCTGTGACTATATTAAGTTAAGCATGAGTTCATACCAGTGTCTCCAACTGTAATCCATTACCACGTGGATCATTCCAGCCTCCTCCCTTTTCTTATCTGTAAATTCCCACTCCCATGGTGAGAACCTTGACTCCCACCATCTTCATAATTATTCATTTTACATCCATGCATACCAGAATCAGAATTGTCACTATAAGCCCCCTGAACCCAGGGGATAGCTTTAGCAACCAGAATCCAATGCTCAAGAGCAGCTTCTTTGCCTCCAGTCACTTAGGTCCATACCTTTCCTTCTACGGTGTCCGTGAGGTTGTTTCATACATTCACCACATAGTGATGTTTTCTTGTCACAGCACACATTCCTCCTTGATGTGCAGTGATACCTCACTGTTTTGATTTGTGGTTGCTGACAAATTGTGGTGAACATATTTTCATATGCATATCTTCCTTGCTGAGATTTCCAAATCTTTTGCTCATGGTTTAACATTAGTTGTTCATTTTCTTAATTGTTGAATTCTTAAATTTATTTGTATGCAAGGAGGTTCTGAGGTGTGTTTTACAAATATTTTCTTTCAGTTGTCGGCTTGCTTCTTTATTCTCTTAAAGGTGTCTTAAAAGCACAAGTTTTTAAGTTTAGTAAAGCCCAGCTGTGTTCGTCAGCTTTCTGTTGCTATGACAAACTGTCTAACAGAAGTCAGCTTAAAGGAGGGAAAGATTTACTTGGGTGAGAGTTTCGGAGCTTTCAGTCGGTGGTGGCTGGTTCCCTTGTGTCTGGGCCTGTGGAAGGCAGAGCACCAGGGGGAGGTCATGCTGGAGCAACACTGCTCAGTGCACAGAGGCCGGAAGCAGAGCCTAGGAGATCTCTTCAACTGTTTGAATCTTCCCTGATTTCTTTCATCAGACAATTGGAATTTTAGCATATAGATCCTGTACCCATTTTTTTCTTTTTCCTTATATTGGTTATTTTTAGTTATACATGATAATAGCATCAATTTTGATTTAATTATAAAAGCTGGAATATATTTTGTTCTAATCCAATCCCTAGTACCTTTCCTTCCCCTTTCCTCTCCCCACCTCCTACCCTCTTTCCTCTATAGATCTTTCCGCCATTTATCCATAGATATTTTTCTTAATTAATTTCTTGTGGATAGTGGGATTTTACCAATATATTCCCCCCTCTTTTTTTTGGTGCATGGCATTTTTAATTTCAAATACCAATTATTGTTCATTTGTGGAATATAGGCAAACAACCAACTTTTCTATATTAACTTTATATCCTGTGACCTTGCTATCATTGCTATTATCTGCAAATAAACAAGAAAGCCAGGATAATCCCTGTGGTGCCCTAATATCAGTGTCAATTCCCACTTTATGTTCAGTAGCCCTCAAAGGATTTGGGAGTAAAGCAGAGGCCTCCAGGAAAGATGGTGGCAGCAGTTCCGCAGCCAGTGTGGGTCACTGTTGAGAGCCACAGCCAAAGGGGCCCCAGCAAACTTCCAGCTGCCAGAAAACTTCCAGCTGCCAGATGATGATTGGCTCACAGTGGCCCCAGCAAACTTCTAGCTGCCAACTGATTGGCTCCTCTGC